TGTTGGTTCACGGCAGCGAGATCTTCGTCTGGGTTGGTGGTCGGCTGTGGTGGAAATTCATTAATATATATATCTTGGTCTGGGTTGGTGGTCGGCTGTGGTGGAAATTCATTAATATATATATCTTGGTCTGGGTTGGTGGTCGGCGATTGTGCCTTCCTTTCACCACCATTGTTGTCGCTTGAAAGCTTCGATAATCATCCATTGAATAAAAAACAGAATTTGTTAGTGGTCGGCGATTGTGCCTTCCTTTCACCACCATTGTTGTCGCTTGAAAGCTTCGATAATCCATTGAATAAAAAACACAATTTGTATATATATTGCGCAGTATACTATGAAATCAAAAACCCAGAAACTCGTACAGATTAGAGATTGCAACGATTAAAAATTACTGGCAATCAACTATCAAATTTTCAAGGAGATTGCGTCGTGAAGAAGAAGCAAAAACCAAGAAACCCGTAGAGATTAGGGCTATACTTCTTCTTCTTCCTCGTGAAAATGGAATGAATGTGTCGCAAAAATAAATCTTGGAAAATATTAAGACTCCGTCACAGTAAAAATTTCACGCGCTATGGGCGCTATGGAGTTTGAGGGCTACCTTAATTATATTTGTGTTCCAAAAGGGTATGTGAATTGTGTGAATTTTTTGTCATCGAAAATATATGGTGTTGCCGGTGGCGGATTCAGAGAGCCCAGAGTTTCGGATGGGTAGTTTAGTAATTTCATATGCCAAAGAGAGGGTATTTCAGTAATTTTGACAAGTCTATTAGTGTATTGTGTAAGATATTTTCAAAATTAGAGAAGGTCTGAGTAATTAATAAAAGAAGTTTATGTAAAATATTTTCAAAATTAAAAAAGGTCTGAGTAATTTTCAAAACACGATAAAAGTTTATGTAATTATAACAAATTATAACAAACACACTGGAGATTTGTGTAAATTAACCAATAAACAAAGATCTCTGCATATACGATGAATGGCACAGAACCACTTTACCGTCCATTGTGCCAGCCAAAATCCATTAGCTAAAAAATACTGCAATAAATATAAATTGCAATGGTATGCAGCTGCTACAATGGAAATGTTCTAATCCGTTTGGCATCTCAATTAAATCCAAAATCAAGATTAAAATAAACAACTGAATGAGTTTTGCGAATTTCCCAAAATTAAGCATTTCCGAAAAAGAAAAACATAAAAGAGTAAGAAATCAAAGTACCTCGATGGGACGGTCGTTCGTCCCAGTGGAGGCGGCCACCGGCGTCGCTCAATCATCAGAAAAACTTAGGAAACTGAAGAAAAAATTCTTTTGGCAAAATAAATGCGAGATTAGGGCTGATAATGAGACGTACACATATGAACATATATATATATATATATATATATATATATATATATATATATATATATCACTTAGTTTTGTTTTGGTTGGGATCGAAGAAGAAAGGACGAGCATAGCTAACCTTAGATGAGGAATTTCAGAGAGGATCTTCTGGCAGAGCGTGAGGTTGTCGCGGTTTAGGAAGAAAAATAACGGATCTGTTATTAGGATCGAGTTTGAGTTCAGAAATCACAACCCAAACCAACTCAATTTTTTACGAATTAGAACCATTTTTTATTGAGTTTGAGTTGAAAAATTACAACCTGAACTTAGGGAAGAAATTTAACTTCAAATGCTAATAATCCAAAGTCAATTCAAATTTTATTTTTACTTTAAACCAACTATATATATATATATTTATTTATTTATAAGTAATGTACCATATATTATTCCCTTCATATATATATATATATATGAAAATCTATCTTTATTAAAAGATGAATTTTAATATTTTTTTATTGTACTTGTTGTAAATGAATTATAAAATTTAGAGGTAAGTGAAAAACACCAAATAGTATTTTTTTAATTTTTTAAAGTTGTACAAAATTATTCCTTTGTTAAAAATTTGACATAAATTATTTGATGTAATATCCATTTTACCTTTTTAGTATACCCAAAACACCCATCCTTCACTCTCACCTAAATATCACTCTGTGTAAAACCCAATCGAACGTAGGGAAGATCATTTTTTTTTTTTTAATCAATGGCGGGAACTCTAAACCAACAAAAATTTCGAGTCAGTTAGGATCCAAATTGAGGAAGTTGAATTGAATTGTTTTTAGATTGAAGTTTTAAGCCCTAAAATTTTAATTGGACTGGACTTTAAAATTTTAACTTGACTTCGTTACTCGCCGGCCACCGATTCCACGGGTTGAGCTCACCGCCGAGTCATCCACGGCCGAGCCCGTCTTCTCCACAACCGGTCCATTCCGTCACCGCCGCTTCACTGCCGTTTCAAGTTCCCTGCACTGTCTTTGCTCACTGGCACCCATCGCCTCAGTCCCCAGCAACGGCTTCGCAGATCCGAGAAACTTGGCGACTTCGAAGTCGCCGGAAGATCCGAGAACTCTTTGTCGGTGGGGAAGAACAGGGTAATTCCGGCACCAAAAAAAAGCCACCACCGATCCAGTTCTGCTCTCCATCATCGATGCAGGTGTTGGCGCGGTTTGGCAGTCGCCAACCGGTGATCTCTCTCTCTCCATTAGAAAGATGTTGGCGCCGGCGCAATCAAGCACCAAGGATTTAACACTCCTCGCTATCCTCAATTTCTGGTCGTCATCGCCATTCCCCATCCTTGTCGGAATCAACTCGCGGTGAGCTTGCCGGTGGAGGGCTCGACTTCGGATAATGGCGGCCATGATGGGCGCGGCTGACTGACAGCGGCAGTGACGAGGACTGCTCGACTGAGGACAGCTCCGATGTGGAGAGCTCGACCGTGAATAATCTGACCGGCGATGGCGATGACAGACTAGAGAGGATGAAGACGGTAGTAGGCTTGCGGCGGTACTTGGCGAGATTGAACGGCAGTGGGTTTGTGGCACGGCGCCGGCTGGCAAGGAGAAGCTCAGTTGTGAATGAACTGCGGTTGACTGACAGCGGCGATGATGAGGACTGCTCGACTGAGGACAGCTCGGATGTGGAAAGCTCGGCATGGAATAATCTGACCGGCGGTGGCGATGGCAGACCGGCGAGGATGAAGACGATAGTGGGCTTGCAGCGGTGCTTGGTGAGATTGAACGGCAGTGGGTTTGTGGCGCGGCGCCGGCGATCAAGGAGAAGCTCGGCTGTGGATGAATTGCGGCTGACTTGCGGCAAGGTGGGCAGAACTTGGCCGGTTCGGAATGGTGACTGGCGCAGATGAATGGGCTGGGTCAGCGATAATGAATTTGTTGGTCTGTATTGGAAAGGTTGAAGGCCGTTTAGTGAAGAGAACTTTGGTATCTCTAATTCAACTTTCCTTTAACCCAAACTGAATTACAGAATGGGAACGACAAACTGTTTATTGTCCTTTTTTGTTTTTTTACCAATTTGATTGCACCTAATTGAAATTTTTTGTACCGGAGTAATGTGATATACACAATAAGTATACGTGTTTTTTTTGTACTTGACCCATAAAATCTATCTATAGGTCCAAATGAATTTAATGGTTAATTCTTATAAGTTTAATATAAAAATTGGTAATGTTATTAAAAAAAAAAAATTAATACTTTAATTTTTCAATTGGAATATTTATTTTTCAGGGAGTCAAGAATGAAAAAGTGGATATTTTTTGTGAGACGAGTATTATAATATAATTTTCTTTATAACATTAACCTTAGTGTATATGTTGAAAAATTATAATTCAAAAATGAAAATTATGCCGCCTAAATCAATAGAAAGAAAATTGATATGAGAAAGAAAATTATGGTCGAAATTAATTTTGTTATTGTGTTAAATAAATAAATAAAATTCTTTGGAAAAGAATTAGCTAAAATTGTTTGTAAATTAGGGTTGCAATTCGGGTGGGTTTGAGATATAACTTAAACCCAACTCATTATATGAAATGTTATACCCAAGTCCAACCATAACCCTAATTTTAATTCTAACTATTCAATCCGAGCCTAACTCATCCTTCTATTTTTTAATTTGAGCTTGCAACTCGGGCTTAGATTCCTGATTTAAAATTCAAATTAATTTGGATTACTCTTATGGCTAATGTTTACACCAAAAATTTAATATGATTCTTAATTAATTTTAAATTAAATTACTTTTAAGCAAAAAGAAAAAAAAAAAAAAAAAAAGTCTTTTTCCATCCAATATTTAGACTATAATTCTGTACTATAACGACTCAACTCGAGCCTAATCCATCCTTCTATTTTTAAATTCAAACTTGCAATTCGGGCTTAGATTCCTGGTTTAAAATCCAGATTAATTTAGATTACTCTTATAGCTAATCTTCACATCAAAAATTTAATATGATTCTTAATTAATTTTAAATTAAATTACTTTTAAACAAAAAGAAAAAAAAAAAAAAAGTCTTTTTCCATCCAATATTTAGACTATAATTCTGTACTATAACGACTTAACTCGAGCTTAATCCATCCTTCTATATTTAAATTCAAGCTTGCAACTCGGGCTTAGATTCCGGGTTAAAAATCCAAATTAATTTGGATTACTCATAAGACTAATCTTCGCATCGAAAATTTAATATGATCTTGAATTAGTTTTAGATTCAATTACTATTAAAAAAAAAATGAATTTAAAAGACTTTTTTTAAATTTTTAGTAAATTACAAACAAATACTTTGAAAATTAATTCTCTTAAATGTTAACATACAATAATTTAATATTTAATGAAAGAAGTTGAATGGAAAAAAAGTAATAATAATTTAAATATTATATATAATGTATTTAAAATTAAATATATATATAAATAAACCTATTATAATTCAGGTTCGCCATAATTGTCCAAATTCACAAAAAAAATCGAAATGGAGCTTGAGTTGCCTAACTCAAGTTGCACCATGCTAAAGCCACTTTTCAGACCCAAAAGTCAAAAGGCACCGTTTCAAAAACGATTCTAAAACAATCAGTTAGACCCGATCCGTTTTATGATGTCAAATACCTTCATAGCGCCCGTAAAAATTTCGGGCGGGACTTGGGTTGCTCGGTTAGTCTCACCCCCCTATTCCTCTCATCATTCACTCATCATCTTTCTGCTTCCAAAACTTGACAGCCCTCTCCTTTACGATCGAAGCTGCGAGCTCGCCGACGGTCAGACAGCCCTCACCACCGATTTCTCTCACCGTCGAACGTTAGTTGTGTCCTCAAGTACACAAAAGGTACCATATTTAAACCCTAGAAATTTTTATATGTAAGGAAACCCTAGAAATTGGGGCAAATTGAGTTGATCACATCTCTCTCACATTCTATCTATTGCGTGAATTTTGACAATGGTGTTATGTTTTAATGGCAAGAGATGTTCTATGCCTTGAAATTTGGGTGTTTGGGTGCCTATAGAGTCTGCTTGTTTGCTGAGAAAATGCAGAAAACTCATCTCAGCTTATTTTAAACTTTACTCAACTTAGATGAGTTAATTCTGTCTCTCTTTTTTCTTTTTTTCACTAAACATTGGTTTTGGCTTTCCTTTCATTTCTCTTAGCAAACAAACGGTACTCAATTCCGTACCTGCCGGGGCTGACTTGGTGCACTTTCTGTATGTTGTTTTGTTGCTGAGAAATATTTGGAGTAGACAACTTTCAAGTATTTTGTTTCTCAAATTTAAAGCATTGGGTGAGTCATGTTTTTTTTTTTTTTTTGAAACTGAAACAGCAAAGCAATCTATGGGTGGGAATATAATGTTTTTTTTGTCACTTCCTTGATTTTCTCAATGCCAGATTTTAAGTTCCACTTATTAGTCATTATTTGCTTTTTGATTATGCAATTCCAGGACACAGTTGTTTGTACTAAGGAGGTTCAAAAGATGCGAATTCTGCAGCATATTATTTCCAAAATATCTGCTACTCCAAGCACTAATACAGTGAGAAATGTGACGAAAGGATTGGATCTGAAGGTTTTGCCAAGTGCTCGAGTCTTTTCAAGTAAGTCGGGCAGTGGTGGAGATGAAGAAGGTGAATGGTGGAAAAAACTTGATGGAACTACTAGTTCTGATGATTTGGGTTGGGATGTTGCATCATCTTGGTCTACGGGTCTGACCAAGGAGCATTTTGACGGAGAGGTGGTTGGCCACCAGGTTACTTCATCTGGTCCTGGTCCTGGTCCTGGAGATAATACCGCATCTCAGTTTGCTTCCTCCAGATGGACTTCTGAGGAGATGGATAAGTTGAAGGAATTGGAGGAAGAGAACCGCAAAAGCAAGGAGTTTGTTGATGGATGGCAAGACAGGATGCAGGATATGAGCGTATTGTTGAAGCAGGTGCGAGAGCCTGGAGCAAGAGGCATGTATTTGAAGGACTCTGAGAAGGCTGAGATGTACAAGCTTCACAAGGAAAACCCAGAAGTATATACGGTTGAGAAGTTGGCAAAGGATTATAGGATTATGAGGCAGAGGGTGCATGCGATTTTGTGGCTGAAAGAACTTGAAGAAGAAGAGGAGAAAAAGCTTGGACACCCTCTGGATGACTCTGTGGAGCTGTTGCTGGACACTTGCCCCGAGTAAGTCATTAGATCTAATCATTACTTTTTCTATATTTGTTAATAATTTATTAATTTCTAACGTCAACAACATCAGCTAGTTTGGTGGATGGTGGATTAATTTTAGAGGAAGAAACTGTGATATATATATATATATATGGAAGCTGTGCTTTTCTGATTTCTTTGGTGTCTTTACAAAGAAACTCGTAATAATCTTGATTATGAATTGTCAGTCTTGAAGCTTTTGAAGGCTTAGAATGCATTTTGTTTTAAGTTCCCACTCTGCCATATTTCTGTGTACTGGCTTTGCTCTTTACTTTTTTTTTTATCCTTTTAAAATTTTAAGTTATAATAAGACTCATCCTTCACTTCTTCCCCCACCCCGCGCCGCGTACGATGCTCCATATTAGATTATGTTTCAACGATTTTATTACTTTTGAAAACCTGCTATGAGAATATGACAGGGAATGTCTAAAGTAACTTAATATTGGTGTGCTACAATAAACAGTGCAAGTTGGACTTTATATAAAAGTAAGAATTAGACTATGACAGGCTCAAAACTTTTCTATGCACACACATGCACATACATAAGTACAAAATACACATGTATCTATTTTTATATGTATGTGTGCATTTGTGTAAAGTATATATCTATATTTATTTATGTTGTCATGCTTCATGATTACTAGAGTTATAGATCTAAAACTTATTAGTCTTCTTATTATTTTCTTTGCATTTCCATGCCATTCATTTTTTTTTTAAAATTTTTTTTTTTACCAGTTGGAAAAGCTCAATCTTGATTTTCTAATAGTTTTGCAGGTTGAAAACATGTATATATATTTAGATATATGTTTGCCCATTAGAGATTAAATTAATTGAATCATTCCTTGTTCTTCCGACATTATTGTAAAATTGTATTTTTTTAACCTATTGTGGAATTTTCTCTTCCATTATTTAATAATGTTACATGAACTATTTTAAAATGTATGAAGTAACCAAGACCACTTTTGAACCTAAACCGAGTCTCGCACACAGATATTGATTCTCCATTGCACCCTTCTTTCACAGAGATTGATAGACAATCCTTCGAAAATGTGGATTAGATATGTCATATGTCTCCTACTCCTTAATCTCGTTGGACATGTTCCTAATAAGCATACCAAATAATTCAGTATATTAAGTAATTGTACACAAAGTTCTCTTATTTATTTATTTTTTTGCATTTTTATTTACAAACTTCTAAGAAGTTCAAATATCAAGCGATAAGGAGAAAGACTGACTAACCACAGGGAATGCTTGACTCAGAGTTCCTTTTATCCTTTCACAAATAGCCAAGAGTCAAAAGGATGGTACTGTTGATAGTTTGTCATATTCTGTAGGTCCCTGTTGAATTTTATTCTAGCTGACAAACAGGACACAAGTTTGAGTCTTAAAGCATTCACTTTATGGAAAGTAATATCAAAGATTAGCTTAATCTATAATCTTTCCCTCCTAGTACTGCATAGGCGTGGCAAACATTGGGTAGTACAGTAATAGAATTAAGCTGGTAGATATTACAACTGAAATTTATCTTCACACCTAGATGTTTCTAACATGTGTGTAGATCCACCGTGTGGAACTAATTACCTCAGTAAACTGTAGGTTTTAATCTGTACCTAATGATAGTAGTGGGCAATGCATTGTTGAAAACGTATAATATCTGTCGCTCAATACTGCACTCTGAAGTTTTGTAGCTTATAAATTATCTTCTCATTCTTTGTTGGATAGTGGCCTGGTGAATGGGATGATCATCTTTCAACTTTACATTGTGCTTTTATACTAGGGACTGGTTTGGTATCCTATCATTTTGTTTTCCTGCCTAATGCGGGGTACATACTCGTCATCTTGAATGGAGACAATACTGAAAGTAACACACAACATCATAAATAACAGTAATGTTGCGAAATGGCATCACATAATGTACCAAGTATGAAAACTATTTAAATTCTTTGGTTGGAAAAATTGTCCTAGGGTACTGATTTGTACTTGGCATCATCAATTTGTAATGAGTGCATGCCATGTGGTGAAATGTACAAATGTTCTCAAAAGATGCTTGTTCTAGTCATAAAATAATTTATGGAATCGATTGGTGATCAATTGATTGATAGAATCTGTTGATGTTATGTTTTTAGTACTTGGTTGGAAAACTTGTTTAGGATACTGAATTGGACTTGGTCTGGTCACTTGTCTAATGTTTTTTTTTTCTGATTTGTTTCTTCTGCAGATTTTTTAATTCCCATGACAGGGAATTTCATATTGCCTCGCTGCCGTACAAACCAGACTTCAAGGTCATGCCCGAGGGTTGGGATGGCACCCCGCGTGACCGAGACGAGGTGCACTATGAGATCTCTATGAAGGAAGATGAGATGTTATATCAGGAGTTTGTTCAAAAGATGAACTTTAACAAAATGAAGGTATCATTGCCTCTACCCTAATAAAAAGGAAATGAAAATGAAAAAGATGTGGCGGGCAAGCGATCATAGCTTATTTACTTATTCAAAAAACAATAAAATAATAATAATAATCAAAAGATAATACGATGCCTGCCTACTTAATTATGATAATCATGATTGAAGTTTTAATAAAATTTCCTATATTTTGCTACTTGAAACGTTAGATGATGTGGTCTTGTTTGTGTACAGATGGCAGGGAAAGTCAAAGTTCATAAATATAGCAGGAGGCGCCCTTCTGATGGATGGAATTTCATGGTTGAGAAACTGGGGCCTCGTGGTAAGCGTGGAGCCGGCGGCGGATGGAAATTCATAAGTGTGCCAGATGGATCTAGTCGGCCCCTGAATGAGATGGAGAAGATGTATGTGAAGAGAGAGACTCCTCGACGTCGGCGCAAGATTCTCCCATGATGCTCTGAGGAGGGAAGGGCAGCTTGTTTTGATTATCACAGGTCCTCAAAGATCTTGTCAATCTGGTGATGTTCATTTCATGGTTCGAATTATTAGGCACCACTCTGATCTACATACCCTTGGTTCTCTCTTATTATTAGAATTAATGCTGTTGCACCTGCACACATACATTAGATGCACGAGTCAATCTTTAATTCATACACACTTTTTTTTTTTTTATCAGAACCAAATGAGACAATGTGTCAACTGATACTTTAACCATTAATGTCAGTAAAGCAATTTTTGGATGGAAAATCATTTGTTTGGATTTTTGGTGGTTTTAGGAATGAAAATTGAGGCTCTGAATGTTACTATGTTGAATAAAATGCTTTTTGACCAAAATTCCACGTGAGATGAGACTCTTTTTGTCAATATAAGTGGGAATATAAACGGCAAAGTAGGCCATTTTGATCAATATAAATAGTAAATTAGGACATTTTGATAATTTAAAAACATATTGGTTGATATAAATAGGGTTTTCATACTAATTTGTCACGTGAAATGCTGGTGACTTCAACATTCAACAAATGACAATGGAGAGATGGTAATTTTTGGATAAAGTTCAGAAAATTCGTTGCCAAATTAGAAGTTCGGGACCAAGTTGCCAATACTCGATGAACCAGCTTAAGTTAGACCATGACAAAAAGATGAAATATGGGCATGAGTAGAGCACTTCAATACAATTTTTGAGACCATTAACAACAAATTAAAACTGAGAATAATAAATAAAATTGCTTGGAGAGAATGTCCTTTATTTTAGTGCACCTGCCAGAACAGTAGACCCTGATCCAGTCATTGGTAGATGTAATTTAGCATGTAACATAAATCTTTATTACCACATTATTGATGTGACTTTACTACAGGTTCTCTTTCAATCATGAAAATAGATGGTAATGTAGCGTATATTTCAAAACGAAGTGTTCCCATGAAAATTTCATCTTGAGGTGCATCCAATGCCAACACAAACCTACATATCAAAACAAATCAAGTATTTTTGAGAGAGTTGGATTTGGTTCAATGAACATGTGGCTGCTCTGGCCATGGCCAAAAAACCCGGCCGATTGTCGATGCCGGTGCTGAACATGTTACAGAAGTTCTCATCTGGAACCATTTGATCAATTTTCTGAGATTGGAGGTCTGATCTTGTTAAGGTTTAACTTTAGACTTAAGTGGTGAAGGGAACATCATGTGTTTGTTATCTGGATTGGAATATAATGCTTCCGGTGCTCTTGTGCCACCTAAGTTGACATCACTTCCATTCTTCCAAAAACCCTATGTTTCTTTATTGAGATTAATGGGTCCACTTTCAGTCCATCCTCTGCCTTTTACAACCATTACCTGCAGCATTTGAACCAACCAAATAAGATTAAGCATCAACTCCTATAGAAAATTAATAAACTCAACTTTGGATTATTCTTTCAATGGAGAAAAAAATAAAAAATAAAAAATAAAAAATGTATACGAAAACATTGTATCAAACAAACATGTATATACAACCAAAGTCCATTTAAGGCCTAAGGCAATAAGAAATGGTGGGTTCTTTGTACACTTTCGGAAACATGCTCTACTATCAACCCAAACAAAAGTGAATTGAAAAATTAATATCGACTTTAAATGAGCTTAGGAACGCATAGAACTCATTTTTCTTAAAATCAAATTTTTTTTTTTAAAAAAATAAACCAGTGAAAAGGATTCTCCAATAATCAAGATTTATATAATTTAATGTTCTCTTCACTTTATGAAAAGGACAATAATTTTCAGACCTAATAGTCAAATCGAGAAAGTCATGTGAGAAATTTGTCATTTGAATTATTTTGATTCTAAATAGCTTGTCCTACCAACGAATTGTGATATGAAACGGAAGCAAAATTAATTGTTATCAACTTCTTCTACATAAGTAAGCTGAAATATCAACACTCGTATTATTGTCACAGGCCAATAAATCAAGTCATCAAGATCCAATTCAAGAAGAAAAACCAACAATAAGAAAGTTAAGTATACCCAAATGAATTGGGAACTCAAATTTCTGTGTAGTATGTCAACATGAAAAAACATATGATCGTCATGATTCACTCATTTAGAATAAAAATACTAACAAAATTTGTTATTCTGAACCTGAAGGGCATCATTTTCAGCCTTGAGTAGCTCAATCTGTCTTTTTAAGAGGCCATAGTCTTTCTCCACCAATTGCTTGGTCTTCCACCTTGCTCTCCTGTTCTGGAACCAAAGCCCTAGCCAACCCCAATTTCCTCTCAGCCTCAAGCTTGTTGCCCAACTCAAAGCTCTTCTCAAGTGTCTTCACTTGTTCCATATTTAGCCTCTTCTTCTCTCCAAGTACTTGTGATCCATCATCAGACATATCATCTGATCAATGCACTTCTTCACACCTTTCGACACCCGAAAACGACATGGATCTCCTCATTAGGAGGGGTGAAACGTACGTACACCTGCATATATGCAGTTATGCACCACCATCTATAAACATTAGGAACCCATTAATTTATTGATCATTTAGATAGAGAGAGAGAGAGAGACCTTGGAAGTCATGGTCTTCAAACATGAACCTAGCTGGAACAAAGGCAATATTATTGCAAACAATGCCTGAACTTCTTCACATGCACTGATAATCTGATGACTCTTATTGATATAGAATTTAGAGAGAGAAGATGGGTTCCAATTTCCAGGAGAATTACCGAAAGACAGCGACAATATATAGATCATGACAGAAAATGTGGGGTGTGATTTATATAGTTGATGAGATTCTAGTCACCTGGATGTAAGTTGATGATGTTGCTTTAAATGCTTGTACCAAGAATTACTTTTAAACAATCTCATTTACTTTATCTTCACTCCATTGTATTTTACAAACATGCCATGAAAAATTACTCCTCTTTTCCCAACCTCTAGTTATATGTCCAAATGTGACAACTGACAAGCTTTATTTCTTCTATTTTTTTTTTTTTTTTTTTTCATAAATATACAACTAATACTGTCATGTCATTTCCTTTTTCTTCTTGTTATTAAAAAACACACTTAATTAATGACTAAAATGTTGGAAGTACAATTGCATCGTGAATTAAAAACACATATAACAGGACCACTTGTCAGGTAACCACGTGCAACAACATTGTTCATGTTCTTCCTCTTAAGTATTTTAACTATAACAACAACATTGTTCCTTTTTTCTGTTTGGTTGAATACACTATTGTTACTTTGGCAAAACTTTAATTTATTCCTTTCAAAAAAAAAAAAAAAAACTTTAATTAATTTATTTAATTTTAATTCCAGTGCAATTAAGCATATTTCATGTTTCCAACAATGGGTTAATTAACCGAGATGGTTGCCAAGTTGTTCTTGTAAGTCACAATATTGCACTGTCCATGTATAATTTCATGTATCAGCTCACTCCTTTCCTTTCCACTCAGTTTTCACATGGAATATGAGATGGGTCCATTGGAAAATTTTGGATGGGATTGGTGTGTGTCATAAAGACCTCGAATTATTGAGATACTTTTTAGGCATCGAGGTGTCCAGATCCAAAAAAATTGATGTTTATTTCTAAATAGAAGTTTGTGTTAGACATGTTGGCTAAAACCGATACACTTTATGGAGACCCATTAGATGATGTGGGAAGATTTCAACGATTGGTTGGGAGACTGATTTGTCTCTCTCTCACGCAACCGAATATTGCCTACATTGATAGTGTGATTAGTCAATTTATGCATGCTTCACGTACACCTCGTCTGGAGGTAGCTTATCATATTCTCTGCTTCCTCAAGGGGGTAAGGGGATATTGTTTGGCTGTCATGGCCACTTGTGTGTTGAAGCCTACACGGATGCTGATTGGGCAAGATCTATAACAAATTAACGATCTACTTTAGGATATTGCACATTTGTTGAAGGAAATCTTATTTCATGGCGAAGCAAGAAATAATATGCAGTAGCTAGATCCATGGCACATGGAGTTTGTAAGTCATTATGGCTACAAACTATGTTGGATGAGTTGGGTTCCTATTCATAAGTTTATGAAGTTGTATTGTGATAACAGGGCTGCTATTAGCATTGACCACAATAAACACAACAGGACAAAGCACATTAAAGTTGATAAACACTTTATCAAGAAAAAGTTTTGTTTTGGGCTAATTTGTACTCTATCCGTCAATACACTTGATCAAGTTACTAGTGTTTTGACTAAGGAAGTGTGCAAGACTTGCTTTCAAAATATCTCAGTCAATATAGGCATGATAGATATTTTTGCTCCGACTTGGGAATGGGGGGAATTATTTGTTATTACTTATATAATGTAGAGTGCTTGTGTAGTTTATAAAACTTTTTAGTATAAATAGAATATGATGAAAGGATGAAAGTATTCTTTCATTCTCTCTATTTCTCTCCTCCTCTTCCTCCACTTCTTCTTCATCCTCTCATACTTTACTCTTCTTTTGATTCTCTGTTAAAAGTCAACAGCCACAATTACTAATCCCACCCCCACAACCCCAACCGCCACTCCACCCCAAAACCACAACTCCAATGAAATGACTATTCCAACAAAACGACAATGCCTATGATCTAACACCTGGCAACAACGAGATTCATATGACAGCAGCGGCAAGGTGGCTCACATTGGTGATGAGGTTAGAAGGCAAAGCGGCAGATGCGTGATCTCAGAAATGGAATTGAGTGAGAGACTCAGAGAGAACGTGGAATGATGAAATGGTGGGGTATTTTAAATTATTGTCCAACAAAAATTGGGAAAAAGCTTCCCATAAAAAGAGGGGAGGTTAACTTTTCCAATATATACATCTCTAAAGATACAAGTTAAAATTTACTGCCTGACCCCTAACAGAGCCCAATCCAAATTGATTTTGCATTGAAATTTAATCTGAGTTTGGGTAATTAAGTCCAACATTAATTGCAAATAAAATTGTCCCAAAAATAAAAGTTGCAAATGACTATTCAAGTCATTTAAAAAACGAACAAGTTGAGTTAAAACCAAATGATAACTAATTATAGGGTTAAACATGCACTTGTCAAATTAGAGTGTCAAATCAAATCGACATGATTATCACCCAAACACTGTTACACTAAACTCAAAACTCACCTATTTCATGTTGTGTTAATATGTTGTGCCTAAGCATTACACCCCTGGCTGAAAGATCCCCAGTCTCATTCTTTTACCAACAATTCAAACAACTCCCATCGCCTTTCACCCATCACGATACTGGAAATCAAATTATGAACTCAATTGATGTGCA